GGGCAAATATTCTCACCTTTCGCTCGGGTTACAGGGTTTTTATTCATTTCTATCAAGACTTCTTGAACCTACGTGTTTTTTTCTAACATCATGACTATTACATTATAGTATATGAATAACACAGTTAATGATTATAATATGATGCTTAGTTTGGTATATGACCATCATGGAGATTGAAATAACAACTCCGGGAGTTTAATTTCTACTTATAAGCCTTATCGACTTGCATTTAGTGACATGTTTACTATCCTTCCAAACCTAATTTTTATTGAGTGATTATTTCTATTCCGTTTTATTAGGTAAAACTGTGTTTTCCTAACTGGTTACAAAGGGTAAACAGTGAATGATGTGTGGGACGTTGTCCTCATTCAGACTAATTCTGTTGGTGTATTCCTACTGAAAATTTTGCCCAATTTCTACACATTACCTCCCTGTCTAGGTTTGTTTGTTTTGAATTTCGCGCAAAGCTACACGAGGGCTATCTGATCTAGCCGTCCCTAATTTAGCAGTGTAAGACGAGAGGGAAGGCAGCTAGTCATCACCACCCACCGCCAACTCTTTTGTTAACGAATAGTGGGATTGACCATCACGTTATAACGCCCCCACGGCTGAAAGTGCGAGCAGGTTTGGTGGGACGGGGATTCGAACCCACGACCCGCAGATTGCGAGTCGAGTGCCCTAACCACTTGGCCATGCCCCTGTCTAGGAAGTATTACCTTACTCACATTATTGTTTGAACCGTTTATCCACTAGTATTATTTATGTTTTCCTGTATTTTCAATCACTATAAAGCTCAATCTATTGATTATTGGAAAATGAATTTCCTTATCGAAGGATAAAGGACTCTTTTTTTTTTCAGATTTCATATTCATTCCTGAGATTATCTGTTGACTTATCCTTGTAGTTTTTCTTCTTGGCGCTGAAGGGTTCCTTTAGCGTCTTCTTGACGTTCTGTACATTTTCACAGTTCAGAATGTACTTCAAATTAAATATCTTTTTATTTATTATGTTCTTCCTGATTGATAAACATCGATCATGGTTTAATTTTTTAATTTGACATGTTAAATTGCTTTAGTTTTTTTGTTTACGTCTTATGTACTATAAGGTATTCATTTTCCCCGTATCTTTTTCTTTTTCCTTTTGGACATATAAATTTTCGATATGAATTCATTACTTAAATCACTGTTCTAGCTCACGCAAACTAATATTATAATTTTCTTACTTAGATAAAAATAAGGGCCCGGCATGGCCTGGTGGATAAGGCGCTCGACTCGCAATCTGAGGGTCTCGGGTTCGAATCCCAGTCCCACCAAACACGCTCGTCCTTTCCAAGAGGGAAGGCTGTCAAGTTGGTTGCATCCTTGATGTAAGAAACAGCTTTAGAAACGCTGGCAGAGCAAGATCTGCCATCGGCTCGACGGTCCGCAAGGACTATGGGAAAAAAAAAGAGATAAAAATAAATATTATCCCAACTATTATAACCCTTGCAGGTTACAATTTATTCCCATATTCGTACGTCGTATATACTCGTCAATTCTGGATTCCGCGAGTTTAAGTTTTTCTGGTGCGACTTTTAATTTATACATTTATATCTGCAAACAATGATACAAATTGAATATATATGTAAAGTATATCTCTTCGTTAAGACGCTTCAGTTTCTATAGGGTATATAACATGCATTTTCCTGTTATTTTTTGGCAAGTCAAGCAACGTAACTAACACGTCTAGATCAAGACCATAAACAATGAAATAACAGTGAATAAAAATAGCGAAACTGGTAGCAGTTGTAGAGTTTTTATGAAGAAGTGTGTTAGTATCGGATCTGTCATGGCCTGGTGGTTGGGGCATTCTTATCATAATCTGTGGGTCGTGCGTTCGAATCTCGTCACCGAATATGCTCATCCTCTCTGCCGTGGGTGCGTTATAATGTGACGGCCAATTTCACTATTCATTTATAAAGAGGAGCCCAAGAGTTGGCGGTGGATGGTGTTAATTAGCTGCCTTCTCTTATTTTATCACTTCAAAATTATGGATGTCTGGCCCGGATAGCCGCCGAGTAGCTTAGCACAGAATTCACAAAGAAACAAAATTTATTGGTATCTTGTTTGTTTTTGTTTGTTTGTTTTTAATTATGCACAAAGCTACACAAGGGCTATCTGTGCTCTGCCCACCACGGGTATCGAAACCCGGTTTCTAGCTTTGTAAGTCCGCAGACATACCGCTGTGCCACTGGGGGGCTTATTGGTATCTATCTATACAAGGTGGCCAAGAAAAACTAGATCGATTTGATCTAATCTACAGCTATGATTTGCTCGAGTTTTTATATATAAAAGCAGGAGACACTAACTCAAACCGTTATCATTTTATTAACACCAGAAACGTCTAACTTTACCACAATCATTTGACCTTTCAACTACAACCAAACACATCCTATTTGGTTAATTTGTCTCTGTGATCAAATGTATACATCTCAGCACTTAATAACCTTTCTAACAGATTAAAATATATCCTAATAACCCGAAACAGATGTATCTGAACCACCTATAACCTCGCAAACACAAATCTTATTTAATCTTGTATATTTTACCCAATTAATACTTCTTTCATGCCTATGTACAATTTAGCGACTTAAATATTTCTACTAGAATAGAGGTGATGTTAAGCTCTTGATCTTTCTGTCAGAGTTAATCAAAATGATGCAAACGATCTGTGCTGTAATAAAGTTCACCATTCTCTGAGAGTAATCAATTTCAGTATGAAGTGTTAACGCTTATTTTAAAAGGTCAGTTATCAAACATTGATTCAACTATTAAATAGTGATAACACTTATTTTAATACGTCAGTTATCAAACATTGATTCAACTCTTAAATAGTGTTAACACTTATTTTAATACGTCAGTTATCAAACATTGATTCAACTCTTAAATAGTGTTAACACTTATCTTAAAAGGTCAGTTATCAAACATTGATTCAACTATTAAATAGTGTTAACGCTTATTTTAAAAGGTCAGTTATCAAACATTGATTCAACTATTAAATAGTGTTAACGCTTATTTTAATACGTCAGTTATCAAACATTGATTCAACTATTAAATAGTGTTAACGCTTATTTTAATACGTCAGTTATCAAACATTGTTTC